AACGGAAACAGCCGAGAGTACTGCGCTGGTGCAGCTGCCAAGAAAACGGGAAAGGGCAGCCCAGACACCTTACTCTTTCTTTTCCAGCTCTGCTTTTTCCTAGATACACTGTAACAGTAAACTAGAAATGCAGCTTACTTCCATCTCGGGTGTAAGACAAAACTGAGGTATCGGGAGATTAAACATACATGGCAGTTGCTTAGAATCAGGAGCTGGCTTAAAGTGGGCAGATGACATTTGATTGGGACTCTTGGAGAATTTCACATAAGAATATGTATGAAAAAAAATACATTCAAATTGTCAGGGGCTAAATACCACTACGCTTATTATAAAGAAAAACGTACTGAGTGGTCCTGTGCAGGAAAGATTCTTACAACAGTTACCCAGTATGTGGTTTGGCAACAAGTCAAGGAAATTTGGGGATATTATATAAAGAAGTCTTCCAAAAGCTAAAAGAAGGTGAAAAAGAGACTAGGTTGAATATTAAAGATATATATGCAGCATCATAAGGGATGTGTTCATAGAGACTAGGTTGCCTTTAGGATCTTCCAATATTCTCAAAGTCAGTGCAGGTCAACTAAGGTGAGTAGTGTCTTGCTAGCAACAGACAACATTTGTTCTCTTTAAATTGTCACTCAAGAGAAACCAGGGAATATTGCACCAGAGAAAGATCATGGAAAAATACAACCCACAGATAGCTAGTTATAATGAGAATAAAATATAGAAGCAGGTAACTCCATGTCTTATTATTGTTGTGTTTTAACTTCGCAGCGTGAATGCATATCCATCCACGTTGGTCAGGCTGGTGTTCAGATTGGCAATGCATGTTGGGAATTGTATTGTCTTGAACATGGGATCCAGCCTGATGGTCAAGTGCCTAGTGATAATACTATGGGACGTGGAGATGATTCATTTAACACTTTCTTCAGTGAGACAGGAGCTGGTAAACATGTTCCGAGAGCAGTGTTTGTGGACCTAGAGCCAACCGTAGTTGGTATGTACCCAGCATTAAAGGTCTTCAGTGAAAAAGTGAGGATCCTTTATGGATTACCTACTGTCTTTTTTTGTCTGTTAAGAACACTATAGATTTTAAAAGATGTGTGTCTGGATGCTGTTTTGACATTTGAGGTTATTGTTATTTGAAAGAAATTAAATAATGGCCTACAGGTAACTATTTGGAAAATGATAGAACTTTTCTACGATCTGGATAATCTTTCCAGACTGCTGCACTGCATCCAGAGCTCTGTTTGATGGTTGTCCAGTACCTCGTCTGTACCTGTAATGTAGTTTTCTGAGTGACCTCTGTGTTCCTCAAGTACAAATACTGCTTTGTGTGTGCTTGATGTTTACCCCTAAAAAAAGTGGCTGAAGTTGAGCCAACTTCTTAGACTAGTCAGACAAGCTGTGCATAGTAAGAGATGCTGTCTGCACTCTTTTGACACATGTGCTTAGTGTGTTGTCACTAGGCAGCACACACAGAACCGAACAGATCAAATTTATGATGTGGTGTTTTGGGGTTTTTTGTAGATGAAGTACGTACAGGCACATACAGGCAGTTATTCCATCCTGAGCAGCTCATTACTGGGAAAGAAGACGCAGCCAATAATTATGCCAGAGGCCATTATACCATTGGAAAAGAGATCGTTGATCTAGTGCTAGACCGCATTCGCAAACTGGTAAGAATTCATGCTGCAAGTTAGTATTTAAAATAATTGATACAGCTCTATAGCTATCTATATTGATGGTTTTCTGTTTTTTTTTCACTAAGAATTTTGTGCATACTTAATTGTTTAAAACAAAACACAATAAACCTTTTATTTCCTTGCCTGTCCCACCCCCCTTTAAATAAAAATTCAGCCAGTTAAACCAGGACCTTTCAAGAAAGCTGTTTTTTTTTATTATAACAATGTCAAACTAACAAACTTATGACAAATGCTTTTGAATGATTATTTTAATACTGATTTCTCCAAAACCATCACTAACTGGTTTTTTTCTCCCATTTTTTTCCACTCCATTATAGGCTGATCTATGCACAGGGCTGCAAGGTTTCCTTATATTTCATAGTTTTGGAGGAGGCACTGGTTCAGGGTTTGCTTCACTGCTTATGGAAAGGCTCTCTGTTGACTACGGCAAGAAATCTAAACTGGAGTTTGCAATTTATCCAGCACCACAAGTTTCCACTGCTGTAGTGGAACCCTACAACTCCATTCTAACTACCCACACAACATTAGAGCATTCAGACTGTGCCTTCATGGTAGATAACGAAGCCATTTATGATATATGTCGTCGTAACCTGGACATTGGCCGTCCTACTTACACAAATTTAAACCGATTAATTGGGCAAATTGTTTCATCCATCACAGCCTCACTGCGTTTTGATGGAGCCCTTAATGTAGATCTGACAGAATTTCAAACTAACCTGGTTCCATACCCACGAATCCATTTCCCCTTGGTAACATACGCCCCCATCATCTCTGCTGAAAAAGCATATCATGAGCAGTTATCTGTGGCTGAAATTACCCACTCTTGCTTTGAACCAGCCAACCAGATGGTGAAATGCGACCCTCGCCATGGCAAGTACATGGCCTGCTGTATGTTATACAGAGGCGATGTCGTGCCCAAGGATGTCAATGCAGCCATTGCCACTATCAAGACTAAACGTACCATTCAGTTTGTGGATTGGTGCCCAACTGGATTCAAGGTACGTAGCTTTTTAAGTCCTCAATATCTGAATGATTAGCAATTGTGTAGTTCTCAGAGATAACAGTCATGCTAAAATATTGTAATGTCCCTGTTAAATATTTTGATAAAGTCCAGAATAACTCTAAGCTATTTTATTTAATTATAACTATGGTGATTTTTGGTTGTTAACGGAAATGAGCCTTTAAACCTTAGCGCTCCTAAGGAAAGTTTTCATTTGTTGTCTTAAAGGTGGGCATTAACTATCAGCCTCCAACTGTGGTGCCAGGTGCTGACCTTGCCAAGGTGCAGCGGGCTGTGTGTATGCTGAGTAACACAACTGCTATTGCTGAAGCATGGGCTCGGCTCGACCACAAATTTGATCTCATGTATACCAAGCGTGCCTTTGTGCATTGGTATGTTGGGGAAGGGATGGAGGAAGGAGAATTTTCTGAAGCCCGGGAAGATCTGGCTGCCCTTGAGAAAGATTATGAAGAAGTTGGTCTAGACTCAGTAGAAGCAGAGGCTGAAGAAGGAGATGAATATTGAGAAAACTAAAGCCTGGAAAAATTTATTTACAAAAAAAAAAAAAAGAATTGCAGAACCCTGTTCACTTGTTTGTTTTTAAATGAAGTTTTCAAATGTGTTTTCAAATAAAGTTTTAAAGATTCTACCATCTCTGTTTTTTCTTCTTCACTTAATTAATGTGTGTATTCACTAAGGAAGGACCATTTGAGATTACAGGTTTTGGTAGCAGATCTGTTACCTGCTTTAAAAGTGTGTTGTAATTTTCACATTCCTACGTTCACCTAGTAAAAAAAAAAAAATCTAATGTCCTTTACAAATGAATAGAGCTTTAGAGACATATGGAAGCAGTTAATTATAGGGCACTTGGCTTGTGTAAAAACCACTGACCCAGTTGGTGAGAGCATGGTCCCAGTAACACCAAGATCATGGGTCTGATCCCCGTACAGGCCATTTACTTAACAGTTAGACTGGATCCTTAGGGGTCCCTTCCAACTCAGGATATTCTGTGAAATACACTTTCTTTGGTCCTGAATCTGGAAACTGAGACAAAAGTTTAAGTTTTGTTTGGGGGGTTTTGTTGGTTTGGGTGTGGGTTGTACATTTTGGGGTTTTTTTCTTGCCTACGTGTTCTATAAAACCAGGAGAGAGAAAAGGGGCAACACATACTAAAGATACCAGAAGTGATTTTTTTTTCAGAAGTATTTGTAACTAGTATCCGTGGAGCATGCAGTGTATGCAGAGCGTATGGAGTTATGAAGAAAGAACTGCTGCATTTAAATACAAAAAAGTATTTGTGTTTGTATCTGGAAGACTGCAAGATGCCAGGTCTCAGCAGCCTGGGACGTTACCCTCGCTGCTCGTCGGCGGCAGCTGCTCCGAGCCACGCCCACGGCAAATCCGCTCCGCACACGCACCTCCCACCCAAACAATTCCTGAGCCACCGTTCCCAGTCCCATCTCACCTTAATGATCGCTTCCAACTTACGCTCCCACTCGGGAGTTCCTGCAGTGCACGGCGCTGCTCTGCGATGGCAGAGCATGCCCGGGAGTGCTCACACAGCAACGGAGCCGCACTAAGGCCACAGAGCCCCTCGTGCTAGGCCACCTGCCCCGGGGCAGCCGCACGCTGCCGGCGGAGCCGGCCCCGCAACCCGCCGGGGGAGGTGGCTCTGCCCGCTCTGCCCCCGCGGAAGTGCAGGCGCCGCCCCGAGAGGCCTCCGGGGCGCACTTCGCTGCTGCGGGACCATGGTGCAGCTTTACAACTTGCACCCGTTCGGGTCGCAGCGAGTAGTGCCCTGTAAGCAGGAGCCGGCGCACTTCTGCTGCGGCCAGGACGTGCTGTTCGTGGCCAGCACGGCGGCCAGCTGCAGGGTAGAGGTGTTCGCCGTGCGCGACCAGGGCCGCTGCGAGCCCCTGGGCTCCTTCGCCACTCTGGGCCCGTGCTGCGCATGGCGCCACAGCTCGGCAGGTCAGTCCCCGCGACCGCCGGCTCCGGGGGTGCGTGGCTGGGGAGGCCGGGACGTGTCCGGCTCGAATGCGGGAAGAGGCCCGAGACTCCGCCGGGCGGGGGGGAGCAGGCCGGAGCGGGGGGGGCGAGCGGCGCCGCTCGGGTCCCGCGCCGCGGGAGGAGGGCCTGGGCCGCTCCCACCCCGCCTTCCGTCCGCCCGGGGTCGGCTTCGGGCGCGGCGGCTGGAGCGGGCTGGCCCAACGGGGCCGGCCTGGGGCCGGTGGGGAGGGCGCGGGCCGCGTCTCCCTTTGTTTGCCGTCTGCGTCCGCCCAGGGTAGGGACAGTGCTCTCTCCCTTGCTTTTGTTTTATTGGGATTTGGTTTTCAGAGCACGGGGCGGGTGGTCGTTCCAGCCAATCCCACAGCTCTTCTGTTAGTCTATTGCTTTCCCTGGTCTGTAGAGAACAAAACGGCACTGGGGACGCAGGCTGGGGGGGAGGAGGCGGGTTTGGTCTGCAAATACAACTCATATAGTGGATTCACTTACGAATTATTCTGGACCTAGATGTATAAGTTCTTTTTTTTAATGGTATGTTAAGTGTGTGCCACCCAGCAAAAAAAAGTTGCACTTTGTATTTAATTTAGAGGAAAATTGGTGAAAACTGCTTTTGGAATTTTGAGTTGAGACTTTAAGATGTTCTTTGTAACGAACTACAGAAGGTAAAGAGCTCAAAAATTGTCATCTATTCTGTAATGATATATCAGTATCACTGCTTTCTTTTAAGGAGACTATCTGGTGACAATTGAAGAAAAAAGCAAAGCAACTTTCCTAAGAGCATATACGAACTGGAGATGTATGTCTGCAGGGAGCTCTCGTGTGTGCGTTCGGATGGTTGGTCACAAGATGGAAGAGTCATACAGTGAAACCTTGAAAGAACAGATGTCAGTTGTTGAAATGCCACTTTCAGACCCTCCACTGTGCATTTCATGTTGTCCCGTAAATGGAGATCTTCTTGTGGGCTGCAAGAATAAACTAGTCATATTCTGTTTGAAATACCTGGTCATAAACCAGAATTTGACTGTGTTAGATTTTGAACGCTCCTTAATTTTGCACATTGATAATCTCATTCCTGCTGAAGTTGCATTTTGTGCCAGACATATAGCCATAACAACAGAGCTGGACGTTCTAATCCTGAAACTGGAACTGGCCCAGCAAAGTGCAGACAGGACAGAGCAATGTGCTCAAGGAGTCAGTGTACCAGAAAAGACTGTGGATGGAGGTAAGTGCAGAAATAATTTTTTTTTGTATCTTTAAGAATCTGCTCACTGATTCCTGTTATTCTGAAAGTAGGCTCAAACAAGGTCTTTGCCCTTCAGCACATATTTCTAGATCATCCTATGACTGTCAGCTGAATGTTCTAGGGCATGAAAAGTTGTACCAACCTGCAGTTGGAGGTAACAATTCAAATGAATATGCCATCATTCTGCACACTTTCAGGATAGTGCAGCCTCTACAGATAGAGAATTAGGTCCCTGTTTTGGCATGCTACCATGGGCCAAACTAAAGTGGTAGTAGTTTAATGTGCTATGTTCAGAAAAATTATTCTGTCAGTGTCACTGCCTAAATAACCAGCTTACACATTTAAGAGTGTTTCTGTGGCAATGCCTGTGTACTTTTGTAACTGTTAGTAGGCTCAGAACCTGCATAATCAAGCAAATTCTCCTGTTTCAGTCCTTCTTCTTATTCAGGGGCTTGCCTTAAAATCCTAGAAATCCCAGAAATAGATGTACTCAGTACATCATTCCTGTATATTGCAAGAAATCAATCCATATGTAATCAATTATCAGTTCCCACCTTTCCAAAAGTATACATATCAGGTGAACACCAACAAACTTTAGGAAAGTCCTTCGCTTATAATTAAAGAAACTTAGAAGGATGGTCTTTTAGAAATGGAAACTGCACCTACAAAAAGATTAAAAGGTAAATAAGACTTGTCATAGGAAAAATATAAATGGAATGCTCTTCACTGAGTGAAGGTGGATCTTTTCTCAGATCATGGCATTCTACCCCTAGTTGTTTTTATTACTAAAAACTAGATAGAAAAGTTCCAGTTTCTCTCTGAGTGTTGTTAGGATTTGCTTTCCAGAACTTGAGTTTAAGAGAACACAGCTTTCTGTGATTGCTGCCTTTTCCTTCTCAAAACCTCTCCAGCCAAAAGACAACATTTTTTTATGACAAATCATTTGCAGCACAAGTTGCTTTGGACTTGCTTTCTAATGAACAGTTTACATCATGGGAGGTTTTTTCAAAAATCTTGACTGCTAGGTATTCAGACTGCTGAGGCAATTAAGGAATTGTTCTTGTCTTCTAGCATGGCTGTTTTCAAAATCTCATGGTTTGAGGAAGCAAATGCTAGCTAAGTAGCTGTAATTGGACTATTTAATTGATACTGTGTCATACCAGTTTCTTAGTGCTGAATGGAATGGTTTGAACAATTAAGATAACATTTTCATTGTTCAGGTGTGAAAGATGAAAGCCCTTCAACACATACTTTGCAGCTTGAATTAGATGAGTTCATCATATGTCAGAAGCCAGTGGAACTGCTTGGGGAAGAAAGTAAGCTATGTGAGATACCCATCACACTGGAATCCACAGAGTTACCTACTGAAGACACAAAGTGCTTCCAAGTGCGGTATCTGCTTTTCAGGTATTACAAATGTATTTTCCCCTTTATGGGTTAATTTACTACAAGAAACCAAAATGAGTTGTGGATTACATCTTTCTGAAAGAAAACTGGTATTTTGACTTTTGGGGTTTTTATAAGGGTCAGGGTTTCTTTTGAACTGAGGAAATAATGGGATACCAAAGAAAGCCCTTTTTAAAATATATTGGAATATTTCACTTAGAAGGGATCTGCAATAATCGTCTAGTCCAACCGCTTGACCACTTCTGAGCTTAGCTACTGGTAAAGCGCAGTACTAAAGGCACAGTCCAAATGCCTCTTAAACAATCACAGGCCTGGAGCATTGACCACCTCTGTAGGAAGCCTGTTCCAGTGTTTCACCACTCTCTCGGTAAGAAAATGCTTCCTCATGTCAAGCCTGAAAGTCCCCTGGCACAGCTTTGAGCCCTTCCCAGGTGTCCTGTCCCAGGATCCCAGGGAGAAGAGCTCAGCATCTCCCTCTCCAGGTCCCCTTCTCAGGAAGCTGATTTAGTCTTCCTCTTCTATTAACGTTCTTATCAAAGACCGAGGAAGAATTGATGTCACAGTCCAGCAGTGAATTCCAAAGCAAAGCAGGGACAAGGATGACACATAATAGGAAAGAAAAGTAGGATTGGAGATGACATGACGTTACATACAGCTCAGTGGAATAAAAAGAGAGGGGTTGAAAAAAAGCTTAAATTGAGGTCCAAATCAATTGCCACATGTCTTCCAGTGATCTCAAACTTTGACATGCATCTTGCAGACAAGCAAAGAAAGAGGATTCTGGTTGCAGGAACTCAAGATAGTTGTATCTAGCTGTGCCCTGTGCTTCTTGGCATTGCTATGCTAATGGCATTGCTAGGAGTGTGAATTGTTGTTGAGTGTTAAAACATGAGCTATGCCTGTTCTAACCAG